GGGGGCGGATCGTTTAATTGGTCGAAACGATCCGCGCGGTCGAAATTAGTTCCGCGACTTTCGTTTCCTATTCCGCCGCAACTTTCCGCCCGATTCCTTGTGTGCTGCTGGATGGTGGAAACGGAAGGACGACGGTGGAACGACAACTGTAATAAAAGGGACAACTGTAACAGAATGGTAGGGGAGGTAAGGGGATTAATCGGGGCGGTCGAGCGATATATCGGAGGGGGGTGCGGAAAAATGAAGCCTTTCGATATCCCCCTCCCGTAGAATCCGTAGAGAATTTTAAAAGCTCGTTACAGCAAACTGCAACTTATTCGAAAGTTACGGTACAGAGAAGAGGTTAGCAAGAAATATCGAGAATATCGGCCCCCAACTACTTTAATTGGAATTCTTTCCCCTCTCTCTTTTCGAGAAAAGTTAAACTATACACGCGTTATTCCTGGATCGCCGTTAATAGATGTCCTTCTTCCTTTTCCTCTCTCTTCCTTCTTTTTTTTTCTCATTTTCGAAAATCTTTCTTTGGATCGAACGCACCTCCCCTCTTCGAAGGGATATTTCGTCAAGAGAGCATTTCTCGGAGGAGGGGGAGAAAATTTAACGAACGANGAGGAGAGAGAGAGAGAGAGAGAGAGAGAGAGAGAGAGAGAGAGAGAGGTTTTTGTGTCCCCAATTCAATTTGCCGGCGCCGGATAAGGAGTTCCCCGGAATTTATCCCCGCCTTAAAAATCCTCTCGATATGAATCGAGCAACCGTCGAACGTAGCGCGACGCCTCTTTCTTCGCCCGGTTTCTTTTCTGCCACCTGTTCCCCCTCCCTCTACCATTCCTCCCTATTCAGGGATTTCTATTTCCACCGGACTACTCATCAAACCTTTCGATTCCAATGTGCATCGATTCGTTCGATCCCGTCCGGGCCGAGTCGCGCGACTTTTCGCGTGCAAGGAAGATTACGAGAGGAGTGCTCGTGCTCCCCTTTTCACACCGTCCGTGTGTATCCGTTTAAAATGGAATATTCGAGTATTCCGGCGATTATACCGCTCAGTAAATACGCCAATTCTCTCGAAGATGGGTTGAACCCGATTGAAACTTCAAATTCAAAATACTTAATATAAATCGTACATAAAATGGCCAAATTTTATATTAAATTTCGAGCGAATATCGTTCGATATATCGTTCGGTTCGACTTCAAGAGACGAATCATAACTAACTTTGTAAAAAAATAAATTTCGAATCAAAGATTCGAATCCTCACAGTTACGAAATATAACGAAGCTCGTGTGAATAATCTCGATGGATTAAAGCATTCTAGGAGCAAAGTTTAATTTTTTACAGCGGTTCGATAATTGGCGACGCGAACTGGAATGGGGCGGAAACGATGAAGATGATGGAGAAGGAATCGGACTTACCGGGATGGCGACGCAATCTTCGATCTCGGTGAGTGGCTCCTCCGAGCAAAAGGTGCCGTCGGTGAGGAAGGGTGGCCGAGGGGGTGGCGGTAACCGGAACTCGGGGGGTGGCCCGGGGCACTCGGGGCACTCCGTGCTCTCCAGCGTTTCCAGCTCCTCCATCCTCCACCTCAGCGTGCTGAAAACCACACGGAAAATCAACGCTCGATTAATCTTATTGACAGAACTATTAATCGGCACGCGGGGAAGAGAGAGAGAGAGAGAATCTTTATCTCTTCCCTTAACGCACCACCTCGTAATCTATTCTCCCCCTTCCTTCTTCTTCCATCGCACGCGAGAAACTCGCTTCCAACTCGCGTGGCGGTTCTTCCATTTCTTCCCCCCTCCCTCTTTTTTTCGGCCGAATCGTTCGAGCCGAACCAACGTGGCGTTCCTCTCCCCTTTCCTCCCTCTCGAACCCTCGAAACCGAATTACTCCCTTTCCAACTCCCGCCGCTGAAAACGCCGCAAAACGCGAGGCACGGGAAAACAATCTACGCCGGAAATCTCGTTACTTGGGCGGTGGAGCCGCGATCGTACGCGAGCCTTGAACAATTCTTCCACGGAGAGCAAAGCAAAAGGGAAGAGAAACCACGGAAAGGAAAGGAAAGGGGGAGGTCATGGAGGATAAACTCGTTAGCAAAACGAGGATACCGTCGAGGGAAAACAGGCAGCGCACGAACTACGCAAGGAGGAGTTAAAAAAGAAAAAAGAGAAATACCCCGGTTGACCGAGAAAGTTGGCGGCCAGGGGTTAAATTGATAACGGGTCAGCATCCCCTCTCCCTCTTCACGACGGCCAGAGAGTGGATTTTTCGCCGGCTAATTAAGAGATACGCGTCTGGCTGGCCCGTATCTCTTAATGGCTGGTGACCAGAGAATAGTTGCGAGGGACGGGGAAACGGAGGNATTATAATTCTGAACGCGCGGCATTTTGTTTTCCTTTTTTTTTTCCTTCTTTTCTTACGCATCGTGCACGTGTGCACCAGCGCGTACGCGCAGTTTATTGGGAAGATGGGTATCTCGTTAGCATAGGAAGTAGCTTCGGGTCAAGTCGTTCCGCTCGCCGCCGACCGATTGTGGAACAACGGGTCTCCATCTCTAGTCGGTATGCTAATACACGGACTTAATTACACTCTCATAATGAATCAGTCACGCCAACGGTTCGTCTGCTTCCCCGCCATCCCCTTCTCCATCCGCTTGCACACACGATTGTATTCCCTTGATTAATTGTTTCGGCCTCTCCGCAACCTATGACGTCCCAATCCTGTGGAGGATGCGTGTGTATCATCGGGACGGAACAGATCCTTCGATACGACGCCGAATCTATTCGTCATACGAAGCGCCATTTCGATGATCGATCTCCAACGCTCGCGTTTCCAATTTCTTTAATCGATATCGATCGAAGATATCGGGACGATGAGAGATAGGACTAACTCCGTGGGTGGTGTTTCGATATTCGATAAGCCAGTTGCACGAGTAGTCTTGTATATATATATATATATGTATATTTTTTAAATACGTCGGTTAAAACGACGAGGTTTCGTGTTTCCTATGTATAATGGGACCAGTGTTCTCGTTCGAGTGGACACCGGTTTCCGCGTATACTCCACGCTCCGCGTGGAACATCTGCGCGTTCGAGGAACACTTGCCTGCTGCTAACCCTTTCGAGATGACGAGGGAAAAGAAGAAGAAGAACAAGAAGAAGAAGAAGAAGAAGGAAAAAGGCAAAGAAGACTGCTCCATTAGATGGCTGCGAAAGGAAACTAACCTATTAACTTCCCTTCTTCGTCATACTGCGAGTTTCGAGCGTAGAACAAATCGTTTACCTCGATTCGACACCGGCCTAGGAAAACTTCGCCGATCCTTTCTCAAACAAACTCTCTCTCTCTCTCTCTCTTTCTCTTTCGATTCGGATCTGTACGAAAGCAAAGTTTCAGGGGGAGGGATGGAAACAATCCGCGATTCGACAAAGTCTCTCTCTCTCTCTCGTTGACATTCGTTCTCGAGTAACTTTTTGCTGAAAAGGATAATGCCCCCTCGTTCGAGAGGCGAAAAGTTCGAATTCGGAATCGGTGAAAAAGAGAAGAGTAGCACGGAGGGAAAGGAGGAGTAAGTAAGCGGAATCGTTATTTTCGCGCGTGGTGGAGTCGAGAAAGGGTGTAAAGGGGTGTATATATGTAGATCGGGAAAAGGGGAAGCGGAGCGAGCATAGGCGGATGAAGTCGAAGAAGGGAAGGTGGAAAGGGGCACACACGTCCGCGCACAGTTTAATAAACGCAGCGTTCCTTTCGTTCCGTTTCTTGCCCGATATTCCCCGACTCGAACGGCGATGTTCTTCTCCTTCCTTTCCCCCCCTCGACCCAACCCAACCCAACCGAACACCCTACCACCACGAAAAGACTCTCCGCTTCTCTCCTCCATCCACCCAAACCTCGCCCTCGCCTCTCCCCTCATTCATATGCAGAGCAGAATGCGGACGAGCAGCCAAGCTCGAACGCCGCGAACCGCTCATCTCGTTTTCTGGCTCCGTTCCGAAGCCGCCCGCCAAATCTCTAGTTCGCGTGATTTTTATTTAATTCTCCCCCGATACAATGCTCCAAACATTTCTCCCCCTCCTCGCGAGGATACAGATCGCATTTCCTCCTCGAATCGGCGACAACTTCGGATGCCGAAAATCCGATTACGATACGCGTTGCGATTTCGAACATTTTTAGAGCCGAGTAATTTTAGACTACGCGTCTCCACGGAGGATGAGATTGCAGGGTCGAGATCGACGAGAAACCCCTCCTCTTACCGCGATTTGCCGAGAAACCGAAAAAACGCGCCGCATTGAAAGCCCC